CTAGACATGAGAACAGAACTGAAGCTGTGTATAAAGGATGTTATGCCAGAGGAATTAAAGCGAATGGATCAAAGAACTCTGAGTGCGTAGACTGATTTACCGACCCTAAAGATTCTCTGCTGGTTGATAGAGCCTTCTGCGGACCCTGGGAGGGGACTATCGAGGGGCTGGACCCCCATAGTCCTCGTTAGAAGGCACTGAACTTGGGTCCTCTGCAAGAGCAGTAACCTCTGTTACTGCCGAGCCATCTCTCCAGCCCTCCATCTTGTTTTTGAGACAAAGTCTCTCTCGTTGAACCTAGGGCTCACCAATTCTGCTAGGTAGGCTGGCCAGTGAGCTCCAGGGTGCTGTCTCTACCCTATGGTCCATGTCCTACTTCCACTGGGGTTATAGGCACATGCTGGTGTGTCTGGCTGTTTACAAGGGGGCCAGGGTCCCTCATGATTATATGGAAAGCAGTTTACCAACTGAGTCATCTCGTAGCCCCTTGTTGAGGCTTTTGGGTTTTGAGGTTTTTTTGTTTGTTTGATTTTTTGTTGTTGTTATGTTTCGTTTGCTTGTTTTTTGATGAGATGGTTTTATTTTCTGTTGAGACAGAGTCTCCTGCTTCAGCCTCTGGAGTGTCAGGTTACAGAAGTGAGCCACCACACCTAGATTATTAAACAGAGCCTATCTTTGCTACAAATCTACTATATGAAATGCTTTCAAAACACAAGCTGTTAATAGTCAAACAATTTCACTGAAAGGTACAATGTCCCAGCCTACAAAGGAGAATTAAACTCCATTCAGATCAAATACGTTAAGCCTGGTGTGGTGGCTCATGCTTGTAAGTCCAGCTACTCCAATTAGAGATGTTTAGATGATTTAGAAGGGTTCTAGAAAAGTGTAGTGTGATGCTGAAATAGACCTGGCATTTACTTACATGATAAAAGTGAAATAAACAGCCAAACAGTAATAGTTCTCCTGTCCCAGAAGTAACATGACAATGGCGGCCGCTCCTTCTAGGTAGAAAGAAAGAAAGATAATCTTATAGTAACCATATTTCTTCAGCTAGGACTGACCTAGAAGTACCAGGCACTGTAAGGGAAAGAGATTGACACTATGTTAAGAACAAGCCTGCCCCACCCATTAATCCAGCTTACCTGTGCTGACAAAACTAAAAAGCTTCTGAACTACATCTGTTACATCATGGCTCAGACTGTCTTGACCGGGAAGGCATGTGTGGGTTTGGTTTGATTTTGAGATGGAGTCTTTTTTTTTTTTTTTTTGATTTTTTTTCGAGACAGGGTTTCTCTGCGTAGTTTTGTGCCTTTCCTGGAGCTCACTTGGTAGCCCAGGCTGACCTCGAACTCACAGCGATCCGCCTGGCTCTGCCTCCCGAGTGCTGGGATTAAAGGCGTGCGCCACCACCGCCCGGCGAGATGGAGTCTTACTATGTGGCCCCATCTGGCCTGGAATTTACCATGTAGCCCAGGCTAGCTTTGAACTCTCAGTAATCCTCCTGCCTCAGCCTCCCAAATGCTGGGATTATAGATGAGCCACTTTACCCAGCAGTTAATCCATATACATTTAAAAAAAAATGAAGCTAGGGATGTAGCTCCATGTTCAAAAGCACACACAAGGCTCTGGGTTCCACCCCCAGCACTGCCAAAAAGGGAGAAAAAGCAAAGAAAAAAACTACAGACATTAAGCCAGGTGGTGGTGGTGGTGGTGGAGCACACCTTTAATCCCAGCACTCGGGAGGCAGAGGCAGGCAGCTCTCTGTGAGTTCCAGGCCTGCCTGGGCTACAGAGTGAGTTCCAGGAAAGGCGCAAAGCTACACAGAGAAACCCTGTCTTGGAAAAAAAAAAACAACAAAAAACCTACAGACATTAATATTGTATGAATATTAAAGAAACTGCTATTTCCCTAAAACATATGGACGACCCAGGAAGTGAAAGGCTCAACCAAACTAAAACAAATACCAAGTTTACATTTGGAGGTTAAAGCCCAGCATTGACTAAGCATCTCATCGTCCACACTGTGAGGTAAATCTGAAATGCCCCTGCTCCTGAAATCAGAAGGCTAGAACACAATAGCTAGGTCTCATCCCATTTCTTCTGGTTAAGTGTTATGTATTTTAAGCATTCCAACAGATTCACACTGAGAACTAGTTGTTTTTTTCCCTTTTCTGCATTTTTGCTCCCAGTTCTGAAGCTGTTCCTTGTTCTAGACTGAAAAGTTGTTACATTCACCAAGATCAGAAGACACTCTGTTTTCAACATGAAAAGTGCACATTGTTTAGCCCGGAGATGTTTCCACTAACCAAACCTATGTACATTACAATCGGAGAGGATTTTGAACAATGTAAGTCAAATACAAATGCCCTTTAATAAACAGAAGGGTTTCCCCTCTGGCCCACTCTTTGGCTTACTCCTCTACTTTCAAGGAACAAGAGCTCCTTTTCTAGAGGCTCAAAACAGTGCCTCAGTGATTGACGAGCTCCAAGGCCTTTCTTAGAGGGGAAGTACATAAGGCACGCAGCAAGTTCCAGGATGCTCTTTCGTGCAATTATATTATAAAGTCACTCGTGTCCACTTACTGGAATGAAGCTGCTTCCTATCAGTGTCTAATGCAGAAATATGCAAAACGTCGATAACGCAAGCAATGTGACAGCGTGCAAAGTGCGATGTTTGGAAATCAGAGCCTTATCTCTGAATCCCAGCTTTGCCACTTCTAATTGCCCGTGTGCTCAGAGTCAAGTCACTTCTCCTAAGAGACATTTTCCGATGTCTAACTCGTCTCCCCTCTCAACTTTTTGCTCTATTTTATTGCATTCTACCAACAAACAATATCCCTGTCACTCCCCTCTCCCCTCATTTAGGTCCATAGTCAGTGTATAAGACATTCAATAATTTCTAGCTATGATTTTTGTGTCCACTATATATAGAGAAGGAGACATGGGCCAATGCTATTATTACAAAAAAGCTCATAGTAACAGAGGAGAGAAAGACCATGTCTGAAAGTCAAGCCCACCACAGGCAGAAGTTGGCTTCCCTTTCATACGTCCACCTGAGTAGAAGAAATCTTCAAACAGCTTGTCCCACCTAAGTGTTGGCAAAGACACCCACAGAAACCTAAAGCAAGCCAGAGTGAGGAAGGCAGTGCTGTGGTCTTGGTGTCTAGTCTGAGCTGTCCCTGTGTGCTAGCAAGAGCCAGCATCTCCAGAGGGTTATCTTTATGCTAGGAGCCTTTTAAGTCAACCGTGTGTTTTCCTTTAGTCAGTCTGCAGTGACTGCATTAGACAGGTTCCGTTTGTTTTTTTGTTTTTTGTTTTGGTTTTTGGTTTTTCGAGACAGGGTTTCTCTGTGTAGCTTTGCGCCTTTCCTGGAACTCACTCTGTAGCCCAGGCTGGCCTCGAACTCACAGAGATCCACCTGCCTCTGCCTCCCAAGTACTGGAATTAAAGGCTTGCACCACTACCACCTGGTGACAGGTTCCGTTTTTTATTTTCATTTTATAAATGAAGATAAGGAGATACAGAGAATTTGAGTAACTTACTGAGGATCACACAGTTAATAGGGGGAGCCAAAGATTCTCCCTTAAAAAGATTTCGAAGCCATACCCTTAGATGCCACTAATCTGCTTCTCTTAGGAGAGAGGGATGACTGAACATTTAAACAGCTACTGGAGAGAAAGACCACTTGGCATCCTCAGTCACACCATCCTGCACACACCTGATTTCAGAAGCTAAACTGGGTTGGGCCTGGTCAGGACTTGGATGGGAAGAAGACCACTTAATTCTCAGTCTATAGCCCAGGCTGAATTTCTGTGAGTTCAAGGCCACATGGGCTACATAAGATTAATCCAGTCTAAAAGAAAAAATGAGCCAGGCAGTGGTGGCACACACCTTTAACTCTAGCATTTGAGATGACACACCTTTAATCTCAGCACTAGGAAGGTTAAACAGGAAGTGATATGGCTGGGCAGAGAGAGGAAGTCACATGCCTTTAATCTTAGTGTGTTAATATATTGCTTGTAATCTAAGAAATAAAAGCTTACCTGAAGATCAGAGGACAGAGCTAGCCACAGAGTTAGTCATAGAGATCAGGCAGTGGTAGCACACACCTTTAATCTTAGCACTCAGGAGGTCAGCTCTGAGATCAGGTACATACAGGTAACATTATATGGACTGAGCATGTTATATTTATATATTTAGGAATATATATTTATATATATATATAATTAAAGAAAAGAGGCCACGGATTTGAGAGACAGCAAGGGAGTGGGTGGGAGGGGTTGGAGGAAGGAGAGGGAAGGGGGTAAATGATATAACTACATCGTAATTCCAAAAAAATTAAAATCTTTTAAAAAATCTATCCAGGCCTAGGGGTAGAGACCCATAATCCCAGATACTGCAGAGACTGAGGCAGGAGGGCTGTTTCATTCCAGCTAATGTCCATATAGAAATGGACGGATTGATCCTACAATTCATATAGATTTTCAAGAGACCAGAGTAACTAAAACAATTTTGACTCACACTTTCTATGCCATCAAGAAATTGGGAAAATATAAACAATCTATCTGATAATGGATTATATCTAAAATTTTATAAAGTGCCAATATAACTCAGTAATAAAATTACAAGAGCTGGGTGTAAGGCACACGTGTTAGTCCTGTATTTGGGAGGCAGATGCAAGATGATCTTGAGCTTGAAGTCAGCCTGGGCAATGTAGCAAGACTCCAGCTCAAAAAAAAAAAAATAGGACCAAAGGAGACACAGGCCAATGATCAAAACCCTGGGGGTTGTTCACCAGCCAGCCTACTTGGTGAGTTTCGGACCAGTGAGAAACCCTGTCTCAAAAAAAAAAAAAAAAAAGGTATGTAGCAACTGAGAAAAGACACTCAAGGTTGTTTCTGGCCTCCACATGCTCTTGCACACATATGCACATACACTGCACTCACGCATGCACACATGCACTTGTATATATACACAAATATAAATACACACATACGCACAAATTAAAATAAAAAAATTAGAAGATAGAGAAAGTATGGTTTTAAAAATATGTAATGAACAAAAATTAGAAAGTAACCTATTTAAAAACTGGGCAAGCCAGGGAGGTGGTGGTGGTGCATGTCTTTAATCCTCTGAGTTCAAGGCCAGCCTGGTCTACAAAGTGAGTTCCAGAACAGTAAAGACTAATCAGAGAAACCCTGTCTTAAAAAAACTAAAAAAAAAAAAAAAAAAAAAAAAAAAAAAAAAAAAAAAGAATTAGAAATTTTTCCAAAAACACACGTAACATTCACTTCACTTCACAGCCATCAGGGAAATGCAAGCCCAAGCATGAAGGGTATCATTCATACACAGGAAGATTGCTGCAGGAAAGAAGGCAGGTTTAATCCTAGCACTCGGGAGGCAGAGCCAGGCAGATCTCTGTGAGTTCAAGGCCAACCTGGTCTACAGAGTGAGATCCAGGAAAGGCACCAAAACTACACAGAGAAACCCTGTCTCAAAAAAAAAAAAAAAATGAAGGCAGATAATAGGAAATGTTAGTGAAGTCTGGAGGAACTGGAAACACTTTGCACTATTACAAACAAATTGTGCAACAACTTTGGAAATCCTCCACTGTCTCAGAATGTGAAGCACAGGTGGGACAGCCTTTCTATCCCTAGATAGATACCAAAAAATAGGACAGCTCAGAGGGTAAAGGCACTTGAAGTCAAGGCTGATAACATGAATTCAATCTCCAAAGACCACATAGTAGGAGAGAACTGACTCCTGCAAGTTGTCCCCTAACTTCCATACACCCACAGTGGCATGTCCATGTCTATAAACTGTGGTGATATTGTGTTCCCCAAAATACATTGTGCACCTTAATAAACTTATCTGGGATCAGAGAACAGAACAGCCACTAGATATAGAGGCCAGAAAATGGTGGCACACACACTTTTAATCCTATCACTTGGGAGGCAGAGATCCATCCGGATCTCTGTGAGTTTAAAGCCACACTGGAAACAGCCAGGCATGGTGACTCATGCCTTTAATCCCAGGAAGTGAGCCTTTAATCCCAGGAAGTGATGGCAGAAAGGTATATAAGGCGTGAGGACCAGGAACTAGAGTTGGTTAAGCTTTAAGACTTTAGAGCAGCAGTTCAGCTGAGATCCATGTGGAGATGAGGACACAGAGGCTTCCAGTTTGAGGAAACAGGATCAGCTGAGGAATTGGTGAGGTGAGGGTAAGGTGGCTGTGGCTTGTTCTGCTTCTCTGATCTTCCAACTTTAACCCGATACCTGGCTTCAGGTTTGTTTTTATTAATAAGACCTATTAACAATTCATGCTACAATACTCAAGTACGCAGAATACTTTTTTTAGTAGAAATGAGGGGCTAAAGAGATGTCTCAGTTAAGAGTGCTTACTGCTCTTTCAGAGAACCTGGGTTCAGTTCTTCACACCCACATGGTAGCTTACAACTTCCTGTAGCTCCAGTTCTAGGGGATCTGATCCCCTCTTCTGAACTCCGCAGCCCCATGCACACATGGAGTATTCAGACACATGTGCACAAACAAATGTGGAAATATATCAAATATCCATCAACCAATGAATGGATAACCAAAATGATGCAATGGAGTATTACCCAGTTATAAAAAGGAATGTGCTGTAGTTCCCCTCAAAAACTCCAAGTTTAGAGTGGAAACAATCCAACTACGATATCTAGAGATGAGCCTCTGGAGGCAAGCAGGATGGACAAAACTTCAGGCTGGAGCTTCCATGATTGATTCCTCATGGCTTTATAAGAAAAGAGCAGAACTCATACGCATATACCCAGGCCTGCTGACTCTTGCCTTGCAATGATCTGCATGGCCTTAAGACTACTAGCAGAGCATCAAAAATACAGCTTCTCAGCCGGGCGGTGGTGGCGCACGCCTTTAATCCCAGCACTCGGGAGGCAGAGCCAGGCGGATCTCTGTGAG